CAGAGAAATCCCTTTTCTATGTATACTTAAATTTAGAAACACTAGGCAATGTAGTAAATAGGCAAATGGAACTGTTACCATTGAACCCCAAAGCACTCATACTGTTCTGGTGAACTAATATTGTGTACTTTCTGCTTAGACTTCCTCCAGAACCTGCAGTCTCTTTAGTAATGTCTGGGACAACCTAAAGGGCTTGGAAAACTGGCTCCACAGGAGCCAACAAGAAGTTCCTGAAAAACCATGTTACGAAAAGGGTAACAGCTATTCTACCACCAGCTCATGCTCCATTGATACTGAAAAGGTTGAAGATCCAGAGCTTCTTGATAAAGATGAGAAGAATCTTTCTGATTGGCTGTTGACTAACCAGGACTCTCCAAAGCTGGAGAAGCCTGGGAATGGCAGCTGTGAAACAAGCGAGAAGTTTAAGCTCCTGCTTCAGATGTTCCATGAGTCCTACAATGTGAATGATTGGCTTGTCAAGGCCGATTCCTGCACCAATTGTCGGGGCAACCAGCCCAAAGGTGTGGAGATTGAAAACCTGGGCAATCTGAAGTGCCTGCATGAGCACAGTGAGGCCAAGAAACCCTGGTCCACTCCCAGCATGGTTACTGAGGATTGGCTGGTCCGGAACCATCAGGACCCATATAAAGTAGAGGAGGTCTGCAAAGCCAATGAGCCCTGTACCAGCTTCGCAGAGTGTGTGTGTGATGAAAATTGTGAGAAGGAAGCTGTGTCTAAGTGGCTGCTGGAGAAGGAAGGAAAGGATAAAAACGGTATGCCTGCGGAACCAAAACCTGAATCAGAGAAGCAGCCAGATTCCCTGAATATGTGGCTCTGTCCTTCCAGGAAAGAGGCAGCAGAACAAGTTAAAATATCAAAGGCAGTGGCTCCTTCCAAAATTGCTGATTCCTTCACAATGATAAGGAACAGTTCCTTGTCAGAGTGGCTTATCATACCCTCATGCAAAGAAGGACATCCCAAAGACAGAGCTGGCAAGCAAAAGCTGTTGAGTCCGGTGGCCACTTCCTGGTGTCCCTTTAATACAGCTGACTGGGTCTTGCCAGGAAAGAAGACAGGAAACCTCAGTCAGTTATCCTCAGGAGAAGACAAGTGGCTACTACGAAAGAAGGCCAAGGTGGGCAGACATCAAAATAGCACCATTTTAAATATATTTAACAGGTCCTTAATCCCAAATCTTGCAAATGGCCCAGATTTTTAAACATGTAAAGTTAAATTTTACTTAAGTATTGATTTTGGTTCAATGTTAGCAACAGAATGGAGGATTTGTGACTATTCAGATGAAAGTTTCTCTGCATTTTCCAGGTCCACAATCCCCATCCTGCAGAGGGAAAATACACAAAAAACACCAACCTGATTTATTGCTATTTGGGAGAAAAATTCAGGGGCAGAGAAAACAGTTGTCACCTTTGCTCTTATTAGAGAATGCCCAACATTTACATTATTCCTTATAGACACTGTATTATTGGGAAGACTGTTTGCAGTAACCCATCTTTTTGTCTTGCAGGAAGTATTACTTAATTCACCCCTGCAAGAGGAACATAACTTCACCCCAGAACATAACTATGCCCTCCCAGCAGTTTGTGATCTCTTTGCCTGTATGCAGCTTAAAGTTGATAAAGAAAAGTGGCTATATCGAAATCCTCTACAGGTGGGTACACACCAATAGTCTACGTATTAGATTTTACAGCTTATGTTTTCTTACATATAAACTTGTACTTGTGCCTATTAAACCAGATTCATCTTAATGGAATGAACATTAGGCAAATGAGGGGTGGAGGGAGAGGGAGAAAATAAAATTTCATGTATTTCACTTGAACTTGCTTTATGAAATAATTAGTACATACTTGAAAGTGGCATTTCAGGGTAATGATGTAGTCAGAATTTTTAGAGCCTTGGTGGATTCAAATAGCTTATTGAGAAATAAGTGAGCTTTTAAGGTGGGGAGAAATGTTTTTATGCTACAGTGAAGTGATTGTTTATCTGTGGACTTTTCTTTACAGATGTGAAGGAATGGAGTATTAGAATCAAACAACTTTTCTGCAAATCATCACATTTCCACAAGCCGAGTGACTGCAGCTTGCCAAATCATAGTGTTTCTGGGTGACCAGCCAGTTTAGTTCCTTTCCTGCTTGATTTTGAACTAGTGAAATGTCATCACTTATGAATTACTGTGTAAAAGAAAAAGCTGTTGATGCTGCAGTGATTCAGTTTCTTCTTACAGTTCACCCTTACACTAGAAACACACACAGTATCTTGGTGGATATTTCTTTCCCAAGCCTCCATGGCTCCTTAGATTGTGTTACTAGTATATTAAAACTGTAGTTTTAAAAATGAGAGTTCTGTAATCAAGTTGACTTAAAGCTAGTCAACTTCCTTAACCTTTTGGTTACCTTCTTTAGATGCTTCCCTTGCTGTGGGTTTTTTCCATTACTGGTGGAAGTCATTATTTTTCTGTTTAAGTAATATATAGCATTTTCACACAAATAATTTTGAGACTAGAGATTTTTTTCCTCGTTTTTTTTTGTAAACCAAAATGTGTGCCAACATTTTGGCAATTTTTGACATTAATTACAAAACATTTAGCCCACAGGTCAGATTCTACATTTTCTTTTGGAAGAAATTAAGCTACCGCAAATTTTGTCTTTATTTCCTTAAGTGTTATTAAATTATCTAGTGAGCTCTTTTAGAAAAGATCTAAATTGCTTTAAAATGATATTCTGGATAATCCTATTTGAAAATATTCTGAAGAAATGCAAGCAAAAGAGCCCATTAATCAGAGAGCAAAGGCAAAACATGTTGGAAATATAGTACTTGAACTATTCATTATCCTAAGGGTTGGTTATTGGTATATCCTGTGTAAATGGAAGTTGAGCTTGACATTGACACTTGGTGCTTTTAACTAGGGATAAATTAAATGTTCTTACTGCAAGCAGTATACCTTGTACCTTTACCTCCAAAAGTGCAGTGAACAGGCTGTTCTGAACATTTGTGCCTTGGTGTGTTTATTGAAGCTTTATGAAAACTGGTGTTTTCTCAAAAATCCTTAAAGTCATGCTCATGATTTAAAGTTTCTCTGTAGTAGAGAGATGGGAATTTTGTTTTTAAATTCTTCGATATAGCTGCTTTCCAGGCTTCTAAATTTAGCAACTCAACTTGATTGGAAAAACTTAAAGTGTGTGAGTTGTCATCTAGAAAGTCCTTTTGGGGAAATTTCAGTCTTAACAGTATCATTTGCCATATAGCTTCTTTGGAATTCTTGAACCTTGGCTGGAAAAAGCCCTCTATTATTTTGTCTCCCTCAGACACCATTTACAACTTCAATAAAGGTGGTGGGTAAAAACTTAAGGAGCCTTTCCATTATCTTAGGTTGCAGGAAACTAATTTTTGAGGTTTAACACTGTGTATTCCTAAATTTACATTAATCACTTTGCTAATTAGTATGTAAAAGTCTTTTGCATTGATGCATTTTGTACTTTTCCTCCATTAAAAGTCTAACAGCCAGAGTTGTGTGTATTTGTAAAAGTACCTTGTAACAAAATATTCTATCACAAGTAAATGTGATAAACTTTGATTAGTAGTACACTAAAATTTTTATAGTCAATAAAATATCTGTATTTTATGAATCTTAAATTAGCAAGAACAGGTATGCTGCTACTAACTTCCATTTTCAGTCTGTTGCTACAAACTCTTCATGTTACTCCTTTTAATTTTCAGTCTAAAACTTTCTGCCAAATCCCTCATTAGATGCATCCAAAAAGGCCCCACTTTTTCCAGTCATAACTACCAGTTGTTTAGAATTTATTATGTATATATACAATCTGTAGTGCAATTTTATATTTTCATATATAGAAACTAGAAATAACTTGCCTTTATTTCCTTTCGCTTTCCTAACTATCCCCAGAAAGGGGATGAGTTAATATATACATAATTAAGCATCATCACTGGCAGGTGGTTCTAGCACACTACTCTAATGGCTTGTTTAATCTGAAGTATCTTGAGGTTAGTGTCAACTCTATTGGAGGAAATCTTTTTTTTTTTTCTTCAAGTGAATAACAAGTTTTATTTATTTTTATTGATTATGGTATTACATAATTGTCCTCATCCCCCATTCCTATACCAAACTCCTCCCTACATATGCCCCCACCGCCCTGTTGTCCATGGCCACTGGCTAGGCCCATATGTATGCACACAAGTCCTTTGGTTGATCTCTTCCCCTTACTCCCACCCTCCCTGCTTTTCCTCTGAGGTTTGAGAGTCTGATCGCTGCTGCTTTCTCTGGGGTTTTTTTTTTTTTTTTTTTAATTTATTGATTTTGTGCAGAGAGGAAGGGGGAGAGATAGAGAGTTAGAAACATCGATGAGAGAGAGTCTTTGATCAGCTGTCTCTTGCACACCCCCTACTAGGGATATGCCCGCAACCAAGGTACATGCCCTTGACCGGAATCGAACCTGGGACCCTTCAATCCCGAAGTCGACGCTCTATCCATTGAGCCAAACCGGTTTCAGCTCTCTGGGTGTTTTTTGTTCATCAGTAATGTTGTTCATTATTTCCTCTAGATATGTGAGATCATGTGGTCCAAGAAATACTCTTGTAAGAACCTAAACTGAGACAAGCCATAATGGTTATGCTGAGAGGAAAATCAAATCAGTCTGTAGTGAGTTCCTTTCTGGACCAACAGTTCTTTTGAGTCCCAATTTCAATATCAAATAGTTCCTTATGTGTACATGTCAGCCATGATGTTTCAGATCTGGTTGGTGGACAAATGGTGGTGATGCAGGTCTGACCGTCTCTGCTTTGGTCCTGGGCACTGGAGGAAATCTTAACCCATCTGTTAATATTGCCAGTAACCCTTCATTTCAACACAAACATGAAAACATGTTTTAACCAAGTTGGGGTAGAAAAAAATGCTAAGAGTAAATTTCACTTTAAAATCAGAAAAATGATTTTAAATGGAAACACCCACCTTGTTTACATTGGAGTGGACTTTGGTTTTTCACACTTTATTGGAATACAAGGCAATCTTACAGTCTTGGATCTTTTAAGTGAACAAACATGGTGATATAGTACTGACAACAAGAATGACCTGAATGATGGGAGTAAGTGGTTTTCCAGTTCAGGAGGTAACAAAGAGAACAGGTGCAAGATCTTGAAAAAGAACCATATTACTCAGCCACCAAAGCGTTTTAGCTTCAACTCACTAATGGCTGGAAGGAAAGCCAGTCTAGTCAATCATCTTCATCACAGCAATTCGGAAATCTGCACAATTTTTCAAACTATTTGTAGGTATAGGAGAGAACTCCAGACTGACTCATAAATTGCTCTGGATGACTACTAAAGTGTCCTCTAGTCACAGCTGGCAGAATCTTCAGAGTGACTGTTGCAGCAAGGAGCCCTTCATGTGCTCCCAGTTGTTATATAGTGCATAGAGGCTAGTAAGTGTCAGTCCTGCCAGACCACCTCGCGCTACCCCTCGAAGACCACCTGGGGGGAGAGAGACAGACAGATTTGTATTGCATAGTCAAAGGATTAAATGAGTATCAAGATTGAGACATAGCATTCATGTTTATAAAGACTCCATCCAAAGCAGAGAGAAAAAGTTCTAAAAGTGATATGATATACCAATCAGGAGATAAATGCCCTAAATGATCTATTTAATATACATACTATATTTCATATTTAAACTATTTTTCAATTTTTAAAAAAATATGTTTTATTGATTTTTGTACAGAGAGGAAGGGAAAGAGAAACATCAATGAGAGAGTGTCATCGATCAGCTGCCTCTTGCACACCCCCTATTGGGGATATGCCCGCAACCAAGGTAAATACCCTTGCTGGAATTGAACCCGGGGCCCTTCAGTCCCTAAGCCGACGCTCTATCCATTGAGCCAAACTGGTCCTGGCTATTTCTCAATTTTTACATAAGATAATCAGCCATTAACTATTTCTTGACTTCTCAATCTGACTTGAAGTTCCAGCCAGATAAAGTATTTCCTGCTAATATAGACTACACAGGCACTATCAACTGACTTAAGACAGTAACACAGACAAGGCGACGCTATCTTTGGAAATAGTGAGCAGCCTTTGGACTCGGCACATGTTCTGAAAACACTAACTTTAAAGATTCAAGCAGTGGTGATAAGTGGCTTTAATGAAGCTTTGAGTTAGGTGCTGGTGAGGCACCATTCCCCCGCCCCCCATTCCGTCACTGATGTGTCAGGCAATCTACAGCTACTGAGCAGCGCGGCTTTAGCATCCTCACACTAGTTGAAAACATTCAAGGATTAGGCTATTTTTGCTTAAAATATTTTTTTGTGTTGAAAAGGATCAGCCATAGATATTTTGTTTGAAATGCAGAAACAAAAATGTTTCAACTAGTTATTTGAAAATAGCCCCTAAGTCTACTAAGACAAATGGGGGGTACCAAAAGTAACTTAAGTGCTTGCTGTTTTTTACACTTTTGTAAACAAGTAGGGACCATAAACTACTTTGGCAGTTACTTCTGCACCAATGGAGTATTTTTTTCAAGTTGTGTCAGGAAAACAAAGGGAATGGAGCTGCAATCCAGTGATTACCTAACTGAGGTCTGAGACAGTAAATTCTGTGAAATTCAGTGATGTTGCCAAATTCACTTCAACGTTTCTGCAATGAATGTCCTGCCAGATGGTTTCAGCCGATAGATCAAATGGCCACTCCTTCCAGGAGCCTCCAGTCTGAAGAGTTCTGATAGCTGACCTGCTTATTAGGCTTCAACTATGAAACGCCCTCATTATCTCTCTTAAACAGACCCAAACAGAAACTGCATACACGACATCTATAAATAGATGTCAAATATGGGGAGGGGGAGAGTCTGAAACATCAAAAAAATTTAATAGATATCTCCTTTAAGTCTAGATCTCTCTATTATCTTGCTATAGTTAGACTAGGTATTGCAGTTTAATTTGCAACTGTATTCAATGTGGTTGAAACAGAAGTAATGTACACTCAATCTGCTAATTTAAAAACAATCTCAGTTTAATAAGGACCTACAAATTATCTTTGATGTCAATAAAAAGTTCTGTGGGCTGAAAGTGAACTATAATTGAGACCAATTTCCTAAAATGGAAAAAACGACTAAGTACAGGAGAATAAAAACTAAGCAAGATCACTATGGCTCAGTTACTAAACCTTAACTTTTGAGTATAATGAGGGTTCTCTGAAATAGATTACATAATTTAATACTCCAACCATTCTGAGTCAACACAAAGCAAAAGCTAAGGTGGTCTCATTGCTGTTTACCAGAAAAATGATGGCAGGCAAGTAACTGAAAGCACAATAATTTCTGCAGATACTCTTTCCTGGATCAAACATTCAGGCTAACTTCCCTGGACCTTTAGTAGATTGCAGACCCAGACCTCTGAAGTCTGTCTGCGGGCTTGGAAACAGCTGCCAACTGCCTGCCAGCTGGCCCACTGCTTTGAGTACCTCAGCATAGTTTCTACCTGGCCCTTTGGAAAGAGTTTTACACTAGTTTTCAGCATCAAATGAACCTCCTGGGCATAGGCCCTGTGGTAACAATGAAACAGGAAGGTTTTCCGATCTTTGGGGCATTAATAGCATACTAAGTATTCATAAAGAACAATTTACCCCCCAGAAAGCTTTCTACTTTCTGACCAAAATAAAACAGTTCAATCAAGTTACTTCTTTGAAGACTAGAAAAAAATTACTTCCACCAAGGAAACACGAAAAATATGCAGTGTTTGATTTACTAAGCACAGTTAATACTTACTCTAGGCTAGCCTTTTATCACATACCAATCATGTTTTAGTTTTAACTCTTACCAATAATTTTAGAGTTTTCCAACTGGTTGATCTGTTAAAAGTTTGAGGATCTTGGCTTTAGGCTTTCTGTAATCAAACTTCTGGCTATCTAAGCACAGGAAGTTGATTAGCAAATAACTTTTTTTGAACTCAGTAATGAAGGCCAACGGTCAGTGTCTGTAAAGCACAACAAACATGAGACGTGGTTCACAGATTTACTTTCCATCTTTTGGATCCTTACACAACTCTCCCGCTGAGGGCAAATATTCCTTCTAATCACGGGAAATGAGGCCCAGAATCCTTAAATGCCTTTTGGGAGGCAGAGAGCTGGCTAGTGGTAGAGCTTATATATGAACTGACAATTACTTTATAGCAGGAATTGGCAAATTTTTCTTAAAATGGACAGAAAATAAGTATTTTAGGCTCTGAGGGATCAAAAGCTATTATGCAGTATTGATAGAAGCATTTAAAATGTAACTTAAAAGAAGTAAAGCATAAGGAACAGACAGGCATCTGGCAAACAGGAACTGGTGGCCCCTGCTTCAGAGGAACAACCTTACCTTCACACTGAGATGACTACTAACAGCATTCAAAAATTTTTTTTGCATGAACTTGACAATTGTTTTGTATTACTTTTTTTTTTTTAATGGTACATGCCCTTGACTGAAATTGAACCCAGGACCTTTCAGTCTGCAGACCGACGCTCTACCACTGAGCCAAACCGGCTTTGGCCGTTTTGTATTACTTTTAAAAATTGAGGAAAAATACATGTAAACATGGTTATTTACCATAGGTGTCCATCCAGTTCGGTAGCATTAAGTACACTGGCAATGCTGTGTTATCATCATCATCATCCATCTCCAGAGAACTTTCATCTTGCAAACTGAAACTCTGTTCCTACTAAACGGTATCTCTCCACCTCCTCCCAAAGAAATGCCTAATTTTAATGTTGATACATCTTTACTCACTTTTGTTTTTATCGAAGTAGCCCAATACATAATTTTAAAAGTCATGATAGCACTAAAAGACACTGGTTATGCACAAGAGTCTGGTGCAGTCCCATCCTCACCGTATTTCCCTGTTCCCTAATTCTTTGTCTTTATCTTCATGATTCTAAAGAACATGACTATCATCCTAGCTGGTTTGGCTCAGTGGATAGAGGAGCAATGGCCTGTGGACTGAAGGGTGCCGGGTTTGATTCTCGTCAAGGGCACATACCTCAGTTGCAGGCTCGATCTCCAGCCCTTGTGGTTGTGCTCATAGGAGGCAACCAATTGATCTATCTCACATGGAGGTTTCTGTCTCTCCCCCTCCCTGTCATGCCCTCTAAAAATCAATGGAGCCCAGCCGGCATGGCTCAGAGGTTGAGTGTTGACTTAAGAACCAGGCGGTCACACTGATGAAATGAGGGAATAGTGAGAAAAAGATAGAAATCAAAGGTGACTGGGCCACTGGAGGCTGTTTCCTGCTTCCCCGTTTTTCCTCTTTGCTGTTAGAGTGGAAGCTGTTAGAGTGTATGACTTTGGATAGAGACTAACTGGGCTGTGCTTCCCTTAGCAGTCTCATCCCGTTCTTCTGTGCAACACTAAACTATCTCAGCTGTTTTGACTCTCCACATTACTGTCTTTTTAGGACTATTTTCACAGGTCCTTAGTCTTTTTTGAGGAGGCTTTTCTGTGGGTGGTAGCGAGTGTCTCAGACTCTTTCAAAATCTTAGGAAGTTTGAGAGGGTTTATCAACCCTGAGTGAATACCTCCTGGTATAAACTTTGTACTTTAACTCTCTTTGCAAGTTACAAGGTTTATAAGTAAAAATAAATGCTGGTATTTAGGAGGTAAGATTAACGGATGTCAGTCAAACCAAATTCTTTACTGTGGCCTTTGAAGCTCTATCTGCTCCATGATTTGGTCCTTGCCTTTTTTATGGCCCCAGATTCAAACACTCCTCCCAATGCCTTTGAACTCATGCTTCAGGGCCTTTACCTAAATCATCCCCTCGACTCCCGCCTTACATGCTCCCTCATGTGTCAGTCTTTGTTCAAACATCACCTTCTCCTTGAAGTGAGTCTCAAAAGCCCCGGGACATACAGTTTTGCATGTATGCCTTAGTTCGCTGTAGAATAAGCTGCCGAATAAAGGATCTATATATTTTATATTAATAACTAATGCCAAATTTCCCTTCTAAACACTTACCTTTGGCCAATATTAAATGCCATCTACCATCACCTTATTTAAAAGCCAGTTGTAAAAATATTATCATAATGTTTTCTTTTACTTTTCCTGGCTGCTTGTGAGACTGAACCACTTCTATCATTTAGCAGTCATTGTAATTTCCCCCTTGAAGTGTGACATATCCTTACTCCATTTTTTATTTGAGTGATTTGTTGAAATGTTTTGTATATTATGGCAGTTAGCCCTTTGCCTATTTTACATGTTACATGCATTTTTATTTGCTGAACAATGCTGATGCCAGTAACAGAAACAAAGAAGTCATCAAGAGGCTCCTCCTTTTGACATATAGAAATTTAATTTTGAAGGACTGGCATTCATGGGGATTGAGCCTGCAACCCAGGCATGTGCTCTTGACTGGAATCGAACCTAGGACCCTTCAGTCCACAGCTGACGCTCTATCCACTGAGTTAAACCGGCTAGCGCAAAATTTAAAATATAAATTTTAATAATATGATGACAATTGCTTAATTTGATTAACTGGATTTGTATAACTTTTTACTTCTCCTTAGTTTGCTTTTATAGATGATTTATGGAAGGAGTAGGATTAACAGATCAGGGGTTTTTTTGAGTGGGAAGGGAGACCCATGGCTAGATTTCTGAGGCCTTATTTCCTGAAGATAAGTGACCAGGCCTATAAACATTCCTGAACTTATGTATAATAGCAAAATTATAGCTTTTCTTGTTCTGGTAGAAACTGGCTATAACTGAACACTTTCATGTGCCATAGGAAATCTAATAATGACATTTACACCTTCTGAAAGATATTTACATAACTAAGAAAAATTAGGCCTGAACTAAAATCATATGAAGAAATTGAAGTACCAAGCAAAAAAAGAGATGGGGGGTGGGGGGGCGGCGCGGGAGGGGTTTGAGGTGTCTGTGTGTGAAAAAAGACATAGAAGGGATAAATAGTGATGGAAAAAAAGAAGTAAAATTGCCCTGGTCGGTGTCACTCAGTGGTTAGAGCACGTACCTGAATTCCAGGTTGGATCCCCGGCCTAGGTCGGGGGCCTAGGTCGGGGAACGTGGGGGAGCTAACCTATTGATGTGTCTCTCTCACATTGATGTTTCTCTCTCCCTCCTTCCCACTTTCTAAAAGTCAATGGAAAAAATATCCTTGGGTGAGGATTAACAAAAAAAAGAAAATGAAAAAAAATTTTAAAAATAAACTATTGATTTTTTTAGAGAGGAAGGGAGAGGGATAGAGTTAGAAACATCTATCAGCTATCTCCTGCACACCTCTTAATGGGGATGTGCCCGCAACCAAGGTACATGCCCTTGACCAGAATAAAACCTGGGACCTTTCAGTCCGCAGGCCGATGCTCTATCCACTGAGCCAAACCAGTTAGGGCAAAATGAAAAAAAAAAAAAATATATGTATATATATTTTTATTGATTTTCAGAGAGGAAGGGAGAGGGAGAGAGAGAAACATCGATAAAAAAGAATCTTTGATTGGCTACTCGAGCCTACAACTCAGGCATATGCCCTTGACCAGAATCGAACCTAGGACCCTTCAGTCCACAGGTTGATGCTCTATCCACTGAGCCAAACCGGCTAGGACAAAATTTAAAAGATCATATCCAAATTATTACTTTAAAAATTATCCTCTTGACCCTGCAGGGTGGCTTAATTGGTTGGAGTGTCATCAGACACCAAAAAAGTTGCAGGTTCAAACCCCAGTCAGTGGGTATGGTAGGCAACTGATAGATGTTTCTTTCTCCCTTCCTCTATCTCTAAAATCAATAAATATATACTTGGGTGAGGATTAAGAAAAATTGGCCTCTTTCTGGTGTGACAATGTTAGGGACAGAAATAGAATATTGGAAACTATAAGACATATTAAAATAATGCCTTGTTAACCATGAGGGTTTTGTTCTGATTAGAAAGCACGGTTTCACTTGGCTGGGAATTGTTCGCCCTGGGACATGGGAGCCAACATCAGAATACAGTCCAACCTCCAGTCCCAAGAACTGCCTATTGTTATGGGAAGATTTATAACCTGGAGGCTGAGACAATCTGGTCCTGGAGGCACCTCCTTTACAACCCAGCCCCTATTACCTAGGGGAGCCCACCCTATGTGATCCCCCCCCCCGCAAGCATGCAGGACTTGTAACCTGTAATGATAATCCTGGGCCCATGTTCCTATGTAATCTTTGTCCTTCTACCCAACATCAGCAGCTGGCTTATGGTGGCGGGCAGAGCTGATTTCTGTGGATCACCTGCTGCTCTCCCGTACTGCTGGCAGTACTGGAATAAAGACTCATAAGATTCAACCCTGTCTCTGCTTAATTGCCTGAAGTAGTGATAGATAGCCCAGACTCCCTGATTACTCGTAATATTTTCCTCACAATTTTTCTTTCTACTAAGTAGCTGCAAAAGTACTACTTTTGTACTAAAGTGGCTACACTGGATCATACTTTTATTCTAAAATCCACCTCCCATTTTTAAAAACACACTTATTATTTTATACCGGAAGCCTGATGAACGAAATTCCTGCAAGGGGTTCTGAGGGCGGGGCTGCTCTTTGTCTGCCAGTCCAGTCTAATTAGCATATTATGCTTTTATTATTATAGATGTGTGTGTGTATAGAGTTGATTTCAGAGAGAAAGGGAGATGGATAGAAACATCAATGATGAATCACTGATTGGGTGCCTCCTGCACACCCCTACAGAGGATTGAGTCCACAACCCAGGCATGTGCCCTTGACTGGAACAGAACCGGAGACCCTTCAGTCCACAGGCTGGCACTCTATCCACTCAGCCTAAAGTCCTTCCTTTTTTTCTTTTTTTAAATTCTATTTTGAAGAGTACACTGGAGATTGGAAATAATTTAGGTCAACAGGAATTAGCCATTCTCTAAATGTGAAATTGCTGCTCTAGACCAGAGTGCCCAAACTCTTTCCAAATCTGAAAGGTAAAGTTACACATTTGCATTCCTGCCACACAAAATCAATAAAAGACACCAATTTGCCAAGGCAGGGACGAGAAGCAATTCTTTTGTCTGATCCAACGATTTTCAATGTGGAAGTATTTTTAGGTTTTTAAGCAATGTTGGAATTTTGGTTCAGCAGATGATTTACTTCCTCTATGTCCACAACCCAAAGGGAGCTGCAACCAACCCATCACCTGACAGAATTAATGGATAATCTTTTTTGCTTTTTCTCTTTTGAGCCAAGGGCTTTCTATTCCATAATTTATGAGGAAGCTGTTCCAAGCTATTACTGCAAGGAAGTCTGTGACACAGAAGACAGGCTACCATTTCTTTGGATAATATCAAGTATTCAGCCTTTTCCTTTCTTCTTTTAAACACGGATAATGCCTTAAATTAGAATAATTGCATTAGTATATTCAGAACTGCTCCTAACACAGGAAATGCCACAATAGCTTACTTTGAGTAAGAAAACAGGGAATGGTGGGGACTCAGCTTCCATGCCCACCCACTGAGGTAGAAGTGGCTCCCCACTCTGGTCCACCAATTTGCCACCAAACAGTGTGTGTGACTTTGGTGTCTTCATTTATTCAAAAGAAGCTGAAATTCCAGATTTTTGTGAAATCTTTGTTTTTTAAAATATATATTTGTTATTTAAAAACTCTTTCTGGCTGAGAGCCACCTTTGTGCTCCCAATTAAAATTTAGAATTCTTTTGTCTGACCCAACGATTTTCAATGTGGAAGTATTTTTAGGTTTTTAAGCTTTTTCTACGCCAAGGCAACATTTCATGGACATACTCTACCTGGAAACTGTATGTGTGTAAAAACATCATAAATGGTGCAAGAAGTTGTGAGAGCTATTATGAATAAAATTCCAAATGCAATCTATTTCAATACAGAAAAGCCTCTCACTCTAGATATGGTAGGAAAACTTGGACTTTATAATCATGTGAGACTTCTCACATTTCTTTCTTGTGAAACTTGAACAAAAGTATGAAAAATTCCTAATAAACAGAATTGCTCAGTTAATCAAGTGTCTCAGACATAACAAAGCAAACAAACAAAGGTGCTTTTCAGAGACAGGAGTATAGAACTTACGCAGTTTAATGAAATAATTTAAAACTGAAGTGATGAAAAATTTGGGGCTGTCACTGCTTATATGACATTTTGTAAAAGGTTATCTTAATACTGTGCTCATCTATAAAGCTGAAGTGTGATTCTCATCTCACAGAGTTTTAAATGAAACAAATTATTAAGTATTCATTGCTGAGAGTATAATCATAATTCAGTGAATGTTAATTATTTTTCCATTTTAGAGGAGAATTTGATATTTGATCTTCCCCAGAATATTTTGGACCAACTCTTAGGACTTTAATTACTTTTCAAAATTGAATGGTATTTAGTTTATCTAATGTTCATTCATAACAGTATTATTTAAGGTAGGCAAAGGTGAAGCAACCAAGTATCTGCTTAGAATGAAAAAAATTGTGACACATGCTCTAAAATGGATAAACTTTGAGGACATTACACTAATTGAAATAAGCCAGTCACAAAACGACAAATAATGTATGATTCCACTTACATGAGGTACCTAAAATAGTCAATTGCATAGACAGAAAGCAAAATGGTATTTGCCAGTGACTGAAGGGAGAAATGGAGAATTGTTTAATTAGTTTCTATTTTGCAAAATGAAGAAAAGTTCTAGAGATTGGTTGCACAACAATGTAAATATATTAAACTGTACACTTAAAATATTGTTCAGCCCTAACCTGTTTGGCTCAGTGGATTGAGTGTCGGCCTGCGGACTGAAGGGTCCCAGGTTCAATTCCTGTCAAGAACATGTACATTTGCTGTAGGAACATCCTCAATAGGGGATGTGCAGGAGGGAGCTAGCTGATCCATGCTTCTCTCTCATCGATGTTTCTGACTCTCTATCCATCTCCCTTCCTCTCTATAAAAAATAAATAATCAATCAATAAAATACATTAAAAAAATGGTTCAGATGGTTAATCTTTTAAGTATTTTACTAAAACTAAACAAACAAAAACCAAAACAATCTTGGTTTGTGAGAACACTAAATTATATTGGAAAAAAAATTTGTGCAGTTTCCTTAAAAAACTATGCATCAAAAGCATACTTCAAGTTATTAAGAGAGCTATCTATTAAAAATCTCCTACCTGTACATTTATACAACATGCCCGTCATAGTTCCAGCTGCTACTGTATTGAGGTCATCTTCTGCACCTCGTGTTTTCTCAATGATGACACCAAACGCACTATAAAGCAAAGCTATAGAGGAAATGGAATTGATGAGTAATATAACAGAGATTAAAAGTCAGTATAGAAATTATACTTAGGTAAATGTATCCTACAGTCATCATTCTGTAAGTATTCAAAGGTATGTAGTGATCACTGGAACACTGTTTGTAATAGCAAAAGCCTAGCAACAACTAAAACACCCATCAGGAAGAGACCGATCCAGAAAGGGACTTTCCACATGATGGAATGTTATATATACTCACTGAAAACAAAAAGGAGGACGAGCTACAGTCATTAATCCAGGCATTTGACTGACTCTGGATATGCAAAGAAGATATTTGGAAAGGTTCAGAGGAAATATTAATAGAAGCCAGTTATGGAAAGTACCATCCCTAGCCAGTTTGGCTCAATGGATAGAGCATCGGTCTACGACTGAAGGGTCTTGGGTTTGATTTCCAGTCAAGGCATATGCCTGGGTTGTGGGCTTGATCCCCTGTGGGGGCATGCAGGAGGCAGCCGATCGGTAATTCACTCTCATCATTTATGTTTCTATCTCTCCCTCTCCCTTCCTCTCTGAAATACACACACACACCGAGTAGCCAGATTATTATGGTCTTTAATCTGGCCAGAATGTGTGTGGGTGTGCATTAGAGGCCGGGTGCGTGAATTCGTGCATGGGCGGGGGTCTGGCCAGCCTGGCCAGGGGTATAAGACATGGGTGGTTGGCTGGCCTGCCTGCTGGTTGAACTCCTGGTAGAGGGGACAATTTGCATATTAGTCTTTTATTATATAAGATATATACTGAGTGGCCAGATTATTATGCATTCAGAGATCATAATAATCTGGCCAATCAGTATATACTAGTATATTAAAAAAAAAAAAAAAAGTAAGTACTACTGGTGAGTCCCATGAAGAATCTCTTTAATTTTCACTTGTATTTTATTTATAGTAATAGTACTTCAGATTTAAAAACAAAAACACATGTTTCTATTGTGAGAAAAATAAAACTTAAAAATATAATTTTTGCTGATCTGACCAAGAATTAGGTATAATTTTGATTTATTCATTTTGGACAGCTATGCTGTGTTAGCTGTTGTCATTTAAAATATTTTTTTTTTGACAACCTAAGACCTGGCCAACATAGCTCAGTGGTTGAGCATCAAGAACCAGGAGGTCACGGTTTGATTCCAGGTCAGGGCCCATGCCCTGGGTTGCAGGCTTGGTCCCCATGGGGAGCGTGCAAGAGGCAGCTGATCAATGGTACTCTCTCATCATTGATGTTTCTATCTATTTCTCCCTCCCCCTCTCTTCATTTCTGAAATCAATAAAAACGTATTTTAAAAAAACTGATAATCTAAGGGAAAAGATTATCAGTTTTTTAAAAAACTGACCAGTCAGATATTGCATGTTTTGAAAATTCTTGCGGCACACAATTTGAAAAATTGTTGCATTAACCCTTTTCCTCATCCGTTCTCAAAACTGCCACATCTGACCCCTCAACATTTTACCAAGATCAGCCTTACAACTCCTTTGTTGTGATGTTTTTATAGCTTACCAGAGGCCTACTGCACAAAGATTCGTGCAGCATGGGCCTTCCTTCCCCTGGCTGCTGGCACCCTTCACTCTGGCCCAGAGCCACCTTTCTGCCTTTGCTCTGGCCTAGTGCCGCCTTCCCACGCTGACCAGAGGCCTGGGGTGGTGTGGAACACCTGCGTTGTTGCCATGGCAATGATGCAGGTGTCCCACACCGCCCCTGGCTGCTCAGCCCCTGCATATGCAAATTAACCCACCATTTTTTTTTTTTGTAGGGTTAATTTGCACGCTCACTCTTGACTGGCTGGTGGGCATTGCGAAGGTATGGTCAATTTGCATCTTTCTTTTTTATTAGTGTAGATAAAGGCCCTTCTTCCTGTTTCAACTTATTTAACTGAAATTGAACTTGAGAACAACACTGTGATTGATCACACCCCAAAGGGAGCACACAGGCTGACTGGCCAGGACTGAGAATTTCTGGGTACATGGAAACTTTGATGCTAAATCTAAGAAAGTCTGGGTAGGACAGAATGGCTGAGAATTCTAAGTATACAACCAATCAAACAGAGCAAAGGAGGGTGATAGTGTATGGGGGTCAGGGCAAAGGGCACACAAGCAACATAGGGAAGCAGCCATTTACTAGGACTCCAAATGCAAGTCTGACTTTAAAGTGTGAAAACGTACTACTTCCAAATCATGACAAGGCTAGGATCTTACTGTGTCAAAGGCCTTTTCTATCTTTCAATGAGATGCTATGGTTTTCCCTCCTTAAGCTGCATATTTAAAGATTTCCAAGCTTTTAACTAAGTTATAGCTCAAGAAAACCTTGGATGTTAGAGTGTAAGTGCCCCAAGTAGATTTAAGTCATGAGCAAAGAGTCAATCATTCATAAACAACATAGTAGGAAGCAGTGGGCTCTAAGTACCACTGAACTACCCCCTAGAACTGCACGTGTTTTCATTATCTAAAAGGCTCTCCGGTAACTCTGGAAATTAAGTCTGAAAATCTACTCAGGTAAGCAGAATGCTGAACCAGCCTTAGGCAAAAGGAGCAAGAAGACTGGATGAAACTATCATATCTATTGACAGTACCTTAAACTTTCCTAACATACAAAGCCATTTGCCTTGGACCTAAATTATTTGGATTTCATTTAGTTAAAAAGTGATTTTATTTGGTGTAGTGCTTGGGCAGGAGAGTACACAAGAGTTTTTTTGTTTTTGTTTTTTTTGAGATTTAAAAGATCTAAAACATTAAGAATTGATATACAAGAAAATGGTATGCAAGACGGTATTAGCACCTAGAGATTATTTTATGTAGCTCCTGGTCTTTTCCTAGAATTTAAAAAATGTTGATTTATCAAACTGTTCATGATGTGTATACTCTTTCTTTGCATTAATAATTTATTATCAAGTGAAATCTTTACTTACCCAGAGAACCTAGAGTATTAGCCCAAAGAGCCCCTTGCCTTGTCACCATGTTCAAAACCCTACAAGGGCAGGAAGATAAAGAATCTGTATTAGAATCACTATTTCCTCTAGTAATGTGAAAAGCCATAATTGCAACTATTTAGAAAGTATCAATACAACTCTCAGTTTTCTTCATAAAAAAAACTTAATACCTCCTCAGAATTCATAAGAATGGCTTTTACTTTATAGAAATAGAAATGAAGGTAAAATGCCAACCTTTTTGAGTAAGACGTAAGGAAATTTCTCACATATATAAAATAATTACATATATATCAAACACATAAAGGCTTTGAATGACAGCCTGAAATGTATTTTATAAGAAGTTTACAGATACACGAAAAAAAAAAGAAAAAGAAAAAAAAAGTATACAGAAACTGACATGGCCATTATAATGAACAAACTAGATTGCAATTAAGGGTGTTTTTTTTGGGGGGGGGGGACAGGAGGGGTATATGTTGAGAATATTAAGTACAATCAAATCATGGAATACTATAGAACATAAAGCAGAATTAAAAATAAATATGTACTCAGAGAGAAGGAAAAAACAAACCAGAACACATGGAGAAAGCAAGCTGTGTCTGCTCCCACACTAGAACTAAGCAGCCAACGTGGATGCTTAGCACACTCTCAAGGAAGCACAGTTCTGCCTTGCACCAGTGCCTGATGCCACCAGAACAGTGACAGAGGCAACTGGAGGAAGAAGACAGGACATTTCTCTCCCAGCAGTGTAACACCATCACAGGAACGATATGTCTGGATAGCTGACTACTGCTGGATATTACAGAATTATAGCAGCAAAAAAACAAAAAAAAACTAAATGTTAATGCTCAAAAAAAATTTGTATTACTTATAAAAGGTTGTTTATGGAGAAGTATATTATTTTAAATAATTATTTACTAATATATTTAAAGTTTAGCACATCATTTTTACATTTGTCACCAGCCTTTTTAAAAAAATTGTTGAACAGAAACAAATATTTTTTTTTAATTTTTAAACAGAGGAAGAGGGGAGAGAGAGATGGAAACATAAATGTGAGAGAGAAACACTGATCAACTGCCTTCGTCACGTATCGGGACTAGGGATCAAACCTGCAACTTGGGTTTATGACCTGGCCAGGAATTGAATCCATGACTGGAAAGTGTGTTGGATAACACTCATCAGCTAAGCAATACCGATTACGGCTGTCACAAGCTTTTAAAACTATCAATTTTTATAGTGTTGTACTGTTGATAGCACTGCAAATTGGTAACATTCTTTGGGATGCAATTGGGCACCATACCTCCATATATTGGGCCTTTACTTCGAACTTTAATCATCTCTCAATAATCTTTATAGGCAGACAGTATGGAAAAAGCTTACTGTCTTCATTAATATTTAATTATAGAATACTGGGAATTAGTTCACTGGGAATTAGTTTCATAATAATGTGGAAGGGAAGAAGGAGATGGCATACAATTGATCTTGGTTGATGGCCGCTAAGAGTAAGTTATGGTTCATAGGTGTTCACTGTACTATCTTGCCTACTTTTATAGCTATTCCAAATTTCCCACAATACAAAAAATAAAAAAATGACTGGGGTAAGGAAAAAATATTAAGAATATGTATATATAAGAATAGTCAAGAATCTGGGCTAGTAAATCAAGGGCAACGATCAACACAGTAGTAGGAATATACCTTCCAATTTCCCAAGGTCTAATTCTAGCAGACACCTGCTGCCATCTGCTGGTTAAACAATAAATAAGGAAGATGGAGTTTCAAGTGTTCTATGTGAGCCATTGAAGAATACATGTAGCCCAGCTGGTGTGCTCAGCGGTTGAGTATAGACCCAGGAACCAATAGGTTGCTGGTTCAATTCCCTGTCAAGGCACATGCCCAGGTGTGGGATCATTCCCCAGTAGGGGCTTTGCAGCAGGCAGCCGACTGATGATGCTCTTCTCTCATACGTGTGTGTGTGTGTGTGTGTGTGTGTGTGTGTGTGTGTGTGTCTGTCTTTCTCTCTCTCTTTCTCCTCCTCCACTTCCTCCTCTCTCTCAAAAAATCAGTAACAATAAAAAATAAGACCAGTAAGACTCTCATTAAAAAAAAAAAAAAAAAATCACAGTAAACTGTGATTTCACTCATGTAAAGTATAAAAACATACAAAACTAAACAATATATTAAGGGAATGTCAACAGGGACTGGTCATGTTTATTTCTTAAGCTGGGTGAAGATATATATTACACTGGAAGCCAGGGAAATGGGATTTGGGCACTTGTGGGGGACATGGCCTGTGGGGGACATGGCCTGTGGGGATCGGCCCACTGTGGAAGTGCTGCTCATCCCAGTCAACAGAGTGGCGCTCTCACTGTAGAAGTGCACTGACCACCAGGGGGCAGCTCCTGCATTGAGCTTCTGCCCTTGGCGGTCAGTGTGCATCATAGCAACTGGTGGACCAGTCATTCTGCCATTCAGTTGCTGGGCTTTTATTATATAGAATATACTTTCTGATCTTTTTAATTGTACTTTCCCTTTTCTGCAAAACAATTTTCTTAGTAAACTGTCTTATTCCTTTTGGAACTATCTCTAAGTTCTAGGAATTCTATTTAAATTTTCTGTAGCATTTCATTTCAGAAGTGGAAAGTGAAGTTAAATTCAAGCCAAGTAATAGCAAATCTAGTAACCACTCTTATGTGCTTTTTATTTCTTCACTACCATGTCCTATGATTATGGTTGCCCCTGAACAATCCAAATAATATACTAATCATTCAGCAATTTGAAAAGCAGGTTTTATAGGCCTGCAGAATGAAACAGGTATAGCTGAGAAGTTAAGATTGGGGTAGCACTGACAGACTGAGGGACACTGGTGCAAAAATCATTCCTTTTAAAAGCTTAAGAGTCATAACTCTATTTCCTTTTATTTTGAGTAAGAAAAAAAGTGACCAAAAAGTATATCAATACTCTCAACATTTGTAACCACAAGATAGAGCTCAGCAAGCCAACAGAGTGGAGGTTAATATTCCACATTACCACATCAGATGATTACGTGAGACTTACTGTACGTTTCTTGGTTTGGACCAGGCCATGTTCTGGGTTTCTTTTAATCCTAGCCGTAGACCGTTCATTGCCCCAAATGCAGCCCCTAGTAAATCATAGTAACAATTCATCCAAATATTACATCTTTACACTTAAAAACAACTGTACTTCTGATTTTCATTTTTTATATAACAGAAAAAGATAAAAAAGAATATTCTAATTGCTTTTGATTTTAAGCATCCTTGATTAAGAACACTTAAAAAATTTATGATACCCACCTGTCATACAACATCCTCCAATGGTAAAGAAGGCCAGTTCAAATCTGCCCCGGGTTTTATTAGCTCCAGTGGGTAAAATAAATTCATCTGTATCCTAAAGGGGTAATAATGAAAACCAAGCTGAGCTCCCCTCAGGATAGAGTACTTGCAGAGTGTTTTTAATTTGTTAAAGTAGTTTTTCACAGAAAGTATCAACTTAAATTAAAACTTAACTATACTTAAACAAAAATAAAACTTTCTGCAACAACAGCAACACCTAAATCAAAGTAAAATGAAATATACAACATATAGTTATACACCCTCATTCTTAGGAAGAATTCCGTTTCAGAACTGTGCTTATCACTGTAAATTTTACAGATTGCATGTAATTTGCCTTATCTCTCTATATAAAAGCCTAAGTGACCATTACAACCGAACCAGCAGAACAATTGTTCGAACAGTTGCTATGATGTGCACTGACCAACAGGGGGTAGACACTCAATGCAGGTCAGTGCACTCCCACAGCCAACTGCTTGTGGACCCTCCCCCTGACCCTCATTGGTCCCTGGTGCTAAACCATCTGTAGAGACCTGCTTTTGGGTCGGGGTTTTGTACATAGCAGAGCAGCTCCCTCCCTCACTGCTATCTAATTAAAGTCAGCCCTCTACACAAGGGTTTGTCTCACTCCCATCCTCTCTCTTCCCTGGGAGCCGCCTGCCCACCACAGTGGTGGTATAGCAGTGAGGGAAGGAGGAGGGGTGAGGCAGGGAAATGATGGCAGTGTTGGCACCTGTTCCTTCTGGGCCCAGCCTGGCAACTGTCACCTCCTCTCTCCACTTGCCAGGGCCTCTGGGCCCGGGGCTGGGATGGGGAACCGGAGGTGGGTGGTGGCGGACGTGAACCCTTTCCTAGGGGAACTAAGGGCTGGCTCCCTCCTCGGGGCCAGCAGCCAACCTCCCATGGTCCCCCGCACCCATGCACAAATTTGTGCACCGGGCCTCTAGTGCAGTGGTCCATGGCTCCCGAGCCATATGAGGCTCTTTGGCCCTTTGAGTTTTCTAACGCCATTTCTTCAAAATAGACTCGCCCAGGCTGAAAACTGACTTCTTTGCATGGGCCACGAAGTTTTAATCGCTCTGTACGTGCACGCCCACACGTGGTATTTTGTGGAAGAACCACACTCAAGGGGCCAAAGAGCCACATGTGGCTCGCGAGCTGTGGTTTGCCGACCACTGCTCTAGTGTAATCATAAATTTGAAGCAACAATGCAACAGTCTAGGAAGAACAGCCCTAGAAAAAGGTAAAGTGAAATCTATGAGAAGTAACCATTTACAGAATAACAGTATGAAAGGAGAAAATCACTTTTATTTCATAGCTAATATCAAACACCATTTTATATGTCAGATCAAATGATCGTTAAAAAAATGAGCAGAAACTATAAAAGCACACCAATTTGATCAGATATGCAAGGGCAAAATTACCTTAATAATTATTCCTTTGATAATCTTAGAAAGGAAGCTATAGTCCCTCTTTCTAATAAATGCATACACAAAATTTGGTGTGAACCGAACCCTAGTTTGAGAAATGCTACTCTAAGAGCACAATATGATTAATTGTGCAATTACACACATTCATATGAAGGACATGTTCAGTACATTTTCCTCAAGCTTTCCACACAAAACTGGTTAGAAAAAGCCCTTGAAGGGCAGTACATACACATTTAGCAACTCTCTAACAGGTCCCTTTGTGAACTGCTGACCTTTGTTTAGTAAGTGCATTCCTGATTAGGAAAAATCATAGCTCTGTACTGGCTTTTGATTTCTGGCTTATACTCTCTGAAAAAGTTGTACAAATAAGCAAACACATCTACTCTTATCACGCAGAAATGACTGGGCAATAATAAGCACACACTGAATAGATGCCTTGCCATGAATAATATTCATACACTAGAGACCCAGTGCATGAAAATTTGTGCACGGGGAGGGGAGTGTGTGTCCCTCAGCCCGGCCTGCCCACCTCTCACAGTCCGGGATACCTCAGGGGATGCCCTGAGCTGCAGTCTGGCCTCCCTTTGTGGGAGGCGACCGGACCAATCAGGGAAGGTGCCGCCCCATCACCCTGACACTGCAGCTGCCCGCCCTCGGCTCTTGCAGCCGCCATGGCTTTGTCAGGAAGGATGTTCAGCTGTCTGGTCTAATTAGCATAGTACACTTTTATTATTATCGTTTTGTAAAGTTTGGGCACTTCCTGACATTAATTTTAAACTATGCTTCTGGTTTGAGTTTTTTCAAAATGTGACATTTGATTTGATGAGGTAAGTAATTATCTTTCAATCAAAAAATGATTCACTAATTACAAATAGAAAATTAAAAAAAATGGCTATGATGAACATTAGAAAGTCAAGTGCACGTCATTACCAACTCATTCTTGGTTAGGGTCAACTACACTAAAAAGATTATGAGGATTGAAAGCAAATATACTTCCTTCATGTACAGTGACTTGAAAATAATGTGATGATTACTTGTTACTTGTCACTGGGGCTTTTAAAGTTAGTAAAAAGGTACTGTTTCACCCTAGCCAGTATGGCTCAGTTGGTTGGAACGTCGTCTTGTGCACCGAAAGGTCTTTGGTTTGATCCCTAGTTGGGTCGCATGCAGGAGGCAACTGATTGATGTTTCTCTCTCTCCCTTCATTCTAAAACAAACAAACAAACAAACAAACATGTCCTCAGGTGAGGATTTAAAAAAGTACTGTTCCATATAACAAAACTTTTCAAAGACTTTGAGGGAGGAGACGGTGGTCAAATTGCATTTATTTGGGGTGGGGGAGGAATCCATGGAACTAAAGCTCATGGTTTCTATAAAAATATGATTACCAATTTTTCCCTACTTGTCTCCATATCCTTGTTGAAAACCTACTGACTATAAATGCGAAGTTTATTTCTGGCCTTTCAATTTTATTTTGCTGATCTATATATAGAGCTATCCTTGTGTCAGCACCACAATGTCTTAATTACTGTAGCTTGGGAATCAGTTTTGAAATTGGGATGCGCAAGTACTCCAATTTGCTCTTCTTTATTGATTATTTTATATCCTTTGTATTTTTATATGTATTTTAAAATCAGCCAAATTCTGCAAAAAATCTTGCTGAGATTTTGAGAGCATCTGTTGATTTGGAAATCATTGTTATTCTAACAATATTAGATCTTCCAAGAAACGAGTACCTTCAATTTATTTGTCTTAAATTTTTAAAATACAAATTTTGGATTTTTATTGAAGTTTGTCCTACATATATATTTTTTTATGTCCTTGTAAATGGAATTGTTTTTGCACTTTCATTTTTGTGGTGTCCATTGCTATTATATAGAAATATAATTAATTAGTTATACTGATCTTGTGTCATTCTACTTTGCTGAAATTCTAAATTAAAACTAAATTTTTTGTGGTCTCCTTAGGATTTTCTTCCTTTTTTAAATATATTTTTATTAATTTCAGTGAGGAAGAGAGAGAGAGAAATATCAGTGATGAGAATCACTGATCAAGCTGCTCTTGCATGCCCCCTACTGGGGATCAAGCCTGCAACCCGGGCATGTGCCCTGACTGGGAATGGAACCATAACTTCTTGGTTCATAGGTTTACGCTCAAACACTGAGCCATGGCGGCTGGACCTTTAGGATTTTCTATACACAAGATCATGATACCTTAAAATAGTTTTATCTTTTCTTTTATCAATCTGAATGCCAGTCATTCTCTTGCGTAATTGCCATGGTAGGGCAATGCTGAAGAGAAGGGAAGAGAGCAGGCATCCTTGTCTGGTTCCTTATTAGTGGGAACATATAGAGATTTTCACCATGTTAGTTTGGGATTTTTTACCCTGCATGAGTTCTCTCTCTTTGGAATTTCTTTTTTTAAACTTCATTTTTATTGTTGACACTATTACAGATGTCCCCATCCCCACCCCCATCCCTTTGTCCACCTCCACCCAGTCCCATAGCTTTGGAAATTTTGATAAAAAAGATTATTCCTAGTTTATTTATTTATTTATTTATTTATTTTAATCACAAAGGAAGGCAGCTATGCTCACCACTATACCACCAACACTTTTTATATAATAATAAAAGCGTAATATACAAATCGACCCAATGGCCCAACAGCAGGATAACCATCCTGACGACCACACTATGACATGCACTGGGAGCCAGGCTGCAGCAGGTGGGTAGAACCTCCCTCTGCAGGGCCATCAATAGCAGACCCCTGGCTGGGTGGGCAGGGCCTACCTCTTTGGGGCGGTCAAGGTCAATTGCAGAGCCCCGCAATTGCAATTGACTGCCTTGCAGAGGGAGACCCAGGCTATCTGGCCGGTGGCACAGTGGTGGGTTGGCGGGGCTTCCTTCTGTGGGGTGATTGTCACGGGACTCCCAGACTGCAAGAGGGCGTAGGCTGGGCTGAGAGAGAGCCCCCCACTCCCCAAGTGCACAAATTTTGTGCACTGGGACTTTAGTAAAGAATAAGGAAACACGGAGGACAAGCCCTTCCCACCCAGAACAGGTAATCCAATTCCGACCAGCAGTTATCTTTAAACAATGTGTTCATTTACATTTGAATGGCTACACCTTTTGATAGCCTAAGGGCAAGCTTACATGTAAACAAGTTTGCTTCTCAATTCCCAAGGCAGAAAAAAAACAAGGTTTAAAATTATTAGATTTTTAAAATTTATTCTTAGAAGTGTAAAAGTTTATTAATTAAAACAAAAACAAAAACAAAAAAAGGAGATTGAAAAACCTGAAAAAAAATAAGAATAAGAAAACAGAAAAATCAACGAAACCCAAAGTCGATTATTTTAAACACCTTTAGTTAGATGGATTAAGAAAAAAAAGTGAAGTCTCAAATTATTAAAATTAGAAACAAAGGTGAGGACATCATTGTCGATTTTATACAAATAAAAATGGATTATAAATCCTATGAACAATTGTATACCAAGTACTGGGATGAGCTTGATGAAATGTACAAATTCCTACATACACAAAACCCATCAAGAAATAGGAAATCTGGATAGACCTATAACTAGTAAGTGACTGCATCAGTAACAAAATCTCATAAAAAGTAAAGCAAAGCAAAGCCCTCCTCAGACCTGACAGCTTCACCTAGAGTTTGGTGAACTCTACCAAACATTTAAAGAACAACAATCTTTCTTAAATTTTTCCAAAAAACTGAAGTGCAGGAAAATACCTGGAACACTTCATAACTCTTTGTACGAGGCCAGCATTACCTTGAAAACAAAGCCAGACAAAGACACTATAAGAAAACCACAGACCAATATTGCTTTTATGAACAGTGATGCAAAATCCTCAACAAAATACTAGAAAACCAAATTCAGCAGCATATTAAAACAATCATACACCACAACCAAGTGGGATTTATTCCTGGAATGCAGGATGGTCCAATCTGTTAAACTAATACATGAATTCAGCTAATTAACAGGATATAAAGTCACACAAAAATCAGACAATTTCTACCTACTAACAATGAGTAATCTGAAAAAGGAATTATGAAAACAATTCTATTATAAAATAAAATACTTATAAAAGACATAAGTAAATGAAAAACATATCCCATGTTTATCGATTGGAAGTCACTACCCAAAGCAATCAACAGATTAAATGTAATGCCTATCAAAATACCAATGATGTTTTTGCAGAAATAGGAAAACTCATCCTAAAATTCATATGGAATTTCAGTGAATCCCTAACAGCCAAAACAATATTGAAAAGGAACAATGCTGGTGGACTCAGACTACCTGATACCAAAACTTACAAAAAGAACCTAGAAATAAACCCTCACATATGTGGTCAAATGTTTTTCAACAAGGGACAAAACTATTTCATGGGGAAAAAATAAAACTGGATATCCACAAGAAAAAATGAAGCTGGACTTTTATGTAACAAGGTATACAAAAATTAACTCAAAATAGATCAAAGACCTAAATGTAAGACCTAGCCAGGACTGGTTTGGCTCAATGGATAGAGCGTTGGCTTGGGGACTGAAGGGTCCCGGGTTCGATTCCGGTCAAGGGCATGTACCTTGGTTGCGGGCATATCCCCAGTAGGGGGTGTGCAAGAGGCAGCTGATCAATGACTCTCTCATTGATGTTTCTAACTATCTCTCTCCCTTCCTCTCTGTATAAAATCAATAAAAAATATATTTAAATGTAAGACCTAAAACTATAAAACTCTTAGAAAAGAGTAGAAAAGCTTCATGACATTAAATTTGACAATTGTATCTTTTTTTCCCCCAACTGTATTTTGGTACCAAAGGCACAGTAGACAAAAGGAAAATAGAAAAATTGGCTTGATGCAAATTTAAAAATTTTGTGCACCAAAGAGTATTACAAGAGTGAAATGGCAACACACAAAATGGATATATATATATATATATATATATATATATGGTATATTTTTATTGATCTGCTGCCTTATTCATGCCCCCCCCCCCCCACTGGGGATCAAGCTGCAACTTGGGCATGTGCCCTTGATTAGAATCGAACCCAGATCCTTCAGTCCGAAGGCCAATGCTCTATCAATGGAGCCAAACCGGCAAGGGCAAAACAAAATATTTTTAAATCATGCATTTGATAATGGGACATGATATTCAGCATATATAGAAAACTCAACAAAAAAGACCCAATTTAAATGTGGACAAAGGACTTGAATAGATGTTTCTCCACAGGAGATATAAATGCAAATCAAACTATAATGAGTCACTACCTTATACTCATCAAGAAAGCTATGATTTAAAAAAACAAACCCAGAAAATAACAAGTGTTGGCTAGGACAGTGGTCAGCAAACTGCAGCTTGCGAGCCACATGCAGCTCTTTGGCCCCTTGAGTGTGGCTCTTCCACAAAATATCTGTGCAATTGAAACTTCATGGTCCATGCGCACAAGTCAGTTTTCGACTCTCAAAAGAAATTTCAATCATTGTACTGTTGATATTTGGCTCTGTTGACTAATGAGTTTGCCGACCACTGAGCTAGGATATAGAGAGATTGGAGCCCTTGAACATTGTTGGGAAATTTTTACTGTGGAACACAATATGGCAATTTTTCAGAAAATAACAGATTACCAAATGATGCTGCAATTCTACTTCTGGCTATATAATAAAAAAATAAATAAAAGAAGGGTCTGAAAGAGGTATTTATATTTGTTTAAAGCAGCACTATCACAATAGCTAAAACATGGAAGCAATACAAGTGTCATGGACAGATGAATGGGATAAGCAAAATGTAATACTATTCAATGGAATGAGATGCTAAATAAAATAAGCCAGTCACAAAAACACAAATACTATATGACTCCATTTATTTGAGGTATCTGGAGTATAGAATCAGAGACAGAAGGGTGATTGTCAGGGTAGGGGGAGGCTGGAACGAGGAGTTATTTTGTAATGGGTACACCAGTCCTCCCGTATCCATGGGCGATATGTTCCGGTGGATGCCTGAAACTGTGAATTATACTGAACTCTATACATGCTATGCTTTTTCCCCCTGCACTTAAGACAGTTTAATTTATAAATTAGGCACAGTAAGGGATTAACAGCCATAACTACTAATACACCTGAACAATTTTAACAATATACTGAATTAAGTTATGGGAACGTGGTGGGTCTCTCTCTGATAACAGGAGGTAGCATAGATAGTGTCCATCTGCTGAACAAAGGGATGATTTATGTCCTGTACTGTACGAAGCAGGAGATTTCATCACACTATTCAGCATGGAGTGTGATTTAAAATCTATGAATTGTTTATTTCTGGAATTTTAAAATTTAATACTTTCAGAGCAAAGTTAATCATGGGTAACTGAAACCACAGAAAGTGAAACTGCGGGAAAGAGGGGACTACTGTATAGTTTCATTTTTTACAAAATGAAAGAGTTATGGAGATGGTAGGTGGTGATGGCTGTACAAATGTATTTAGTAACAGTGAACATAACACTTAGAAACAGTTATATAGCAAATTTTGTTAGTGTTATTTTACCATAATTTAAAAAACATGGGGGGGGAGGGAAACAAACCCCAAAACCTTTTAAAGAGATTTAATCAACTAATGTCAGGGAGAAGTTGCAAGCCAAATTCCTAGGGTTTATGAGAAAAAAAGGTGCCTCCAAAAGTACATAGCACAGATCAGGTCACATTTAAAATGGTAAGCACCTAACTAGTAAAACCATAAAAGGACTAGTCTGAATCTTACCTGCACAAGATACCGTGGATCCACACTTAAATAGGGAGAGAGAGGACTCATACCAGTCACTAGAAGAAAACAAAGCATCATATTGCAACAAAAAGTTTAAAGTTATTTTATTTAGCACTAATTCTGCTCTTGTTTCATGTTCTATAATTTTGATGTACAGACTCACTGAATGTGATAATTTTTCTCACTTTTCTATGCATATCCTTCTTGTCTGGCAATTTTGGGACTACCTCCTCCTACTGTCTTTAATCCCAAACCAGGTATTACAGTGACGGCTCAGGCACCCACACATGAATATTGGCAATAATACGTATGGAATATTCAAAGTACATTTAAGGAAGCACAGCTCAGGTCAATTATAAAGCTAATTTCTTTCTACTTTGCTACAAGAGTGCTTGCCAACTGTACAAACTGCAAAATAAAACTGACAAGAAACCAAATAATTCCATGGGAAAAACAGTGTTTGGGCTACGTGCTGTGAACAATATTTATGGCAGTTCCATGTTAACACTTGCTGATAGAGTTGGTTTACTGTGGCAGGGTAGATAATTTTCTGGCCGTTACAACAGGGATGGGGGTTAGGACGAAAGAAAATGGAAACTCAAGAGGGCCAGACTTGAATCATACTAACTTAAGTTAGGAAAATCTATCAAGGAAAATAAACTTTCCCACATTTTAAATTTAATCTTTGGATCCTTCTGTATCTTAGTTGATTGTTCTCAAATCTATGCATTTCCTATGACTGTGGTCTTTTCATCAACTGAAAGGCCTAGCAGTTCTAATTCAACTGCGATCTTGTATTGTGTTAGTTATCATTTATTGACACCATACTGGTCAACCTTTAAGTCTCACAGACTGAAGTAATCCCTTCAATTCACTTTTTTTTTTTTTTTAAATCCTCACCCGAGGTTATTTTCCCCTTGATTTTTAGAGAGGAAGAGAGCATGAAAGAGAGAAATATTGATGTGAGAGAAACATGGATTTGGTTGCCTCCAGCACACGCCCTGAGGGCTCAGGCTGGGAGGAGCCTGCAACCCAACCCAGATAGTGTCCTTGACCAGAATCGAACCCAGAACCTTTGATTTGTAGGCTGATGCTCTCTCCATTGAGCCAAACCCTATCCACTGGGCAAACAGGCTAAGGTCCTTCAATTCACTCTTTTCATAGCAACAGGTGATTTCTTCAGAAAAGGAAATCATCTGAATAGCTGTTATTTACACTTACAAATTCAAACTCCTTACCATGGCTCACAAAACACTACATTACCATCTGTCATTCCTTGCCCCTTTGAGCTCAGTATCTCCTATCACTCCAACTCTCTTGCAATTTTGCACACATCTAACAGTTGTTCCTCCAACATGCCTACTTTGTGTGTTTTTTTCCTTCAGGACACATGTACTAGACATTTTCAGTGGTGTATTTGCCACCTTCCAGGTCATAGTCCAAATATCAACACCCCGGAGTTGCTTCCCCTGACCCATTCTAAAAAGGTTTCCAGCTTCCAGCACCCATGATCTTGCTTTGCTGCCCCTACACACACTTAACACTAACGGGCATTTTTATTTACTTTGCTCACTTGAATAGGATGTCAACTCCTTAAAAAATAAAAATTAACTGCTTAAGTTAATTAAAGTCACTGGCTCATTGTAGGTGCTCAATGAATGGTGTTCACCCTTCAATCTCTCACCTAGCCTTCAATCTAGGTAAAGTGAACAATGCTTATATTCAGGAGACAGAAGGCACAAGGCTCGGACGTAAAAGGAAGAAAACATGAACATCTCTGAGCCCACATGAAGGCGCACTGCCTCCGTGCTTCAAAACTCTGACTCCTACGATTTATATATAAACTGTGTTCTTGATGCAGGCGACACTAGGAACTTGAAAAGGTTTTTGTTTGTTTGTTCTTGAGCATAAAGGATCTAGAGAAATAATACAAGAATTATAAAAAAAAAAAGTTTTATAAAGGCATTTCCTCTACCAAGTTCCTACTACCTTTAAGTCCAAGTTCTAGTCATCCCACAACGTCCGAAAGATGTGGAATACATGTTCATAGGAACGAGGAGCGAGCAAAGGCGGGGTACCCAAGCTTCTGCGCCCTCGCCCTCGCCCGTGTACACCGCCTTTCCGGAAACCCCCTCTGAAGGCGCAGCTCGCTCCCAGCTCCTCCGGGGGCCTCCACTCCCGGCCCTCTGCCCCTGCCGGTGTTACTGAGCGTCCCGACCTGCCGGCTGCTTTGTGGTTCAGAACACGCGGGTGGGGCTAACATGTTTCCTACGGGATCCTATTTGGAACACATTTACGTGCCGAGCTGGGCTCTCCTCTTAACGTAGGGCCCGGACATAGCCCGCCACACAAGGAGACACACGTGTGGGAGGAGAGAGAAGGCACAAGGCTCGGACGTAAAAGGAAGAAAACATGAACATCTCTGAGCCCAGGTCAACCCCAGAGAGCTTGTGGGGGACCCAGGGCTCCCAAAATTTGCTCAGTCTTGACAGGGCGGCAGCGAGACACGCCGCTGACATTGAAGACCGTGAACACCGACAAGGGAGAGAGGAAGGGCACGCCGCACGCCTGGCCGAGTCGCAAGAATCCGCCAGAAACGATCGCGAGCGGCGCGCGCACTTACGCGGGACTCCGGCCAAATCCGCGTGCGAGTAGCCAGCGCCGCCGGCCCCGAAGAAGCCGGCCAGCCCGCCGGTGGTTTTGTTGCCGCTCCCCCCGCCGCCCTCCATGGTCTCGCAGCAAACCGGCCGGCACCCTCACCACCGCCTCAGGCCGCGGCCGTGCGCTCGGCCGTCGCTCCTCAGGAACAGCGGGCGGACGCACGTTACCGCCGACTCCTTCACACGCTGACCTTCCGGCGCCGGTGTCCGCAGAGCCGCACACTTCCGCTTTGCGACGTTGTACGACCCGGAAGCCGGGCGCGCCCGACGGCAGTTTTCCGGTGGTGGGAAAGTGAACGCCGCCAGGATCGGGGCGGCGCATCCCGAGGCAGGCGGGCTCCCGGAGGAAGAGGGAAGGCAGGCGGCTGGGGAGGGCCTGGCTTGGGAAGCCGGCGGAGCGGCAGCTGCAGAAGCGGCAGCGCAGAGAGGGATGGTGCCCGGAGGCGCCGAGAAGGAGGCGCAGTCCGTCCCGCAGGGTTAGTGAATGAGGCTGTCCGCCCGGGCCGGCCGGGGACTGTGCGGTGCGGGTCCCAGCATGAGTTCGGGTCCCGCCTGTGAACCCCGCATCAAGCGACCCCGCTGGGGCGCCTCTGAACCTTCGCCGGCCGCCTCCGACGCCCGGAGCTCCCCCGGCGGGCAGAGGCGCGTCCTCGATCCCAAGGACGCTCCGGTGCAGTTCAGGGTCCCACCCTCCTCGCCAGGCTGCGCCCCGGGGTGGGCGGGGCCGCACCGAGGCTGCACCACCTCGCTTGGTACGTGGGGAAATAAAGACCTTTGCCCTTCGCTCCGGCCCAAACCTCCTCTCGGTCTGTGTGAGGACCCAGGGACTCCAGTCACCCTTTCTGGTCTGGTGTGCACCGCTCAGGTCCCCTTACTGAGCCACGAAGGCCACTAGTGGGGAACTGGGGCTACATTTTTCCTGTTGTGGTGTGAGAAACGCTGATGGTCAGTCACAGGGCGGGAAATGACAGGACACTCCACCTGTTTGCTTTACTCGGGTTTGACTTGAGTCGTTAAGGAGGTATAATTCTGTATGTGAGACTTCAACCTCTAGATTGAAAGAAACTACTGCACAACTTCCCTAAATTCAGATTCTGCCTCAGTGGGTTCAGAGCTGTTATTAATAGTTTTAGCCTTGCTGTACTTCACTCTGGCGTGCTGGGTTGAATTAGAGTCATTTGACCTCTGTCTTCAGGCCCTAAAATTTGTCGTGAGGGAGTTACAGAAGTCAACATAATAAAGGGTAATGGGTGTTTTGATAGATGGTAGGAATCCCTAATCCAATCTGGGATCAAAGACAATCTCACAGAAGATAAGATACTTAATCTGAAGACTGAAGAAAGAGGAAGGAAGCATTCCCAGCATGCTGCTGATGTCTACTGTCAAGGGAGAGTGAGTAGTGAGATATGAGACTGAGAGCTAGGCAAAGACTTGCAGGGTTTTGCACTTTATAAGTACAGGGCAGAGAGAGGCTGATAAAAGGATTTTTGGTAAGGGAGTAGCTTGATCATGTATAATCTTTTTGGGGCTTGGGATAAAGTTCCTTGTCCTTGGTGTGTGGAAAATGAATGGATTGAAAGAGCAGAAATGAAAAAGAAAAAAAAAAAAAAAAGAGCAGAAATGCAGGCCAAGAGTCATTAAAAGTTAATCTGGGTGGGAGATAAGATGGTTTTATACTTAGCTGTGGGCAGTAGGGAGGGCAGAAGTGGTTCCATTTAGGAGAGAATGCGGTGTGTGGGTTTGCACTGATAACTATATCTGTGCTATAATGAAGGTTTGGAAGTTTTTCGCATAAACATGATAATTGATGCTGTGGAAGTTCAATCACATAAAGCTAGCAGAGGAAATAAAGGTGACCTAGGACAGAAACTTTAGGAAACTGCCATTTAGAGTAGACTGAAGAGAAGCAGCAGAGAAGTTAGGGGGAAGCCTGGCCTTTGTGTCATGTAGGGAAGATAGCATTTCAAAAAGGTCAGGCAGTCCTCTGGTGAGCGGTGTACACTTCTCTCAGGATTTAGAGGCAGTGGGGAGCAGACCTAACTAAGTTCTGAAGGATAAGCAGAATTTGCTGCATAAATCAAAGAGAGAACAAATTATATAGGCCGAGAGAACAGCATGTGCGGAAGGTGATAGGACTGGAGCGCAGAATAACATTGGTGTTAGGTGACCTGGGAAAGAGGGGCAAAGCTTATCATGGAAAAACAAGTGCCATTTCAACGCATTTGGACTTTGTTCTCTGGTTAATGGGGAGCCACTATGAAGCTCTTAAGAAGGGCGTTATCATTGATTAATATTCTAGAGAAGATTGCTTAGGCTGTGGCCTTTGGAATTTTCTAACTGTAAACTACAGTTTCAGTTTCATCTAGCTCACAGAGTAAGAAATGCATGTAACCTGGTAAATATGCTATATTTATAACAAGTTTTTCATGAAATAACTAGAGGCCTGTTGCATGAAATTCATGCACTCGGGGGGAGGGTATCCTTCAGCCCCGATGGCTAGATAGTGCAGGCTAGGCCGAGAGACTCCACTAGTGCACAATCGGGGCCAGGGAGGGATTCGGGAGGTTGGCCAGCTGGGGAGGGACCACAGGAGGCCTCCAGGGAGTGTCCAGCCTATCTCACTCAGTCCCTGATGGGCTGGACCCCAGTAGCAAGCTAACCCACCAGTTGGAGCATCTGCCCCCTGGTGGTCAGTGCATGTCATAGTGAACGGTTGAGTGGCCTTAGCATATCATTAGCATATCACACTTTGATTGGTTGAATGGCCGACTGGACACAGCATATTAGGCTTTTATTATTTAGGATACTTATCATTACTATGTATGATGCATTTTTATGTTGTCTGAATTATTTCATTAAAAATGTTGGTCATTTGTAGTGTATAAAACATAGAAGATTAAGAAACAGGAGATCAGTTGCAAGAAATAAATGCAGTTGCAGTTGTTCAGTTGTTACAGAAAACCGGAGAAGAACCAAGCAATAGAGAGATGTATTTACATTTATTACGTGTGGGCCCAGAGGAAAATTTCTCTCAAACTCTGGGCCCCAACATGGAGGAATTTCCCCTATTTATATGTTTTTACCTTCTTTGTCTCCCAAATATGGGGTGTTCCCAGCCCCCTTTGCAAGTTCTTAAAGAGCCCCAATGTGCTGGGGCCTTGAGGCCTCAACCAAAGGCTTGGCCTGGTGCCAGCACTGATAACTTCATCCGGGGAAGGTTTAACGGCCTTTCCGAAGTGGGAGTCGTCTTATTTTCCTTATTATTTAAGCAAGTAAGGAAACGTTTACAGAAGCCAAATAGCAGGGTTAAAATTTCAAACAGCAGTTTTTATATAAGATGGATGCTTCACAATAAATGATGTACCTATGTGATGTTCTAAAGTTGGTGCTGTTTTGAAGATGGAGGGGAAAGGATGGCTTTAAAATTTTTGGATATAGATTTCAGAGGATTTGGTGAAGGAGAGTGTAGGGGAGAGGGAACTGAGAGTGACCTCTAGGAATTGTATCTGACTTACATGAGAAGCTAATATGTGGTCCCATTCATTTTATCCTATATAAAGGTGAATATGCAAATCAACTGACTGGTTGTTTTGATGTGCACTGACCACCAGGGGGCAGATGCTCAATTCAGGAGCTGCCCCTTGGTTGGTCAGGGGGTTCCCATAGGGGGAGCACCTCTCAGCCAGAGCCAGGCTCACAGCTGGCGAGTGCAGCGGTGGTGGTGGGAGCCTCTCCCGCCTCCGTCAGTTGGACATCCCCCCCGAGGACTCCCCAAGTGGGAGAGGGCACAGGCCGGCAGAGGGACCCCCCTCCTCACCCCCAGTGCTTGAATTACATGCACCTCCTTCCTCTACTTTACAGAGGAAAGTGGTAGGGGCAGGCAGTCCTCACTCGTTGGATTTTCTGATTTTCTGCAGAAGATGAACCAAATTAATACTTGGGCTGTACTTTATGTGTGTAAATGTTTTCAGTGTTAACTCCAGTTAACAAAATATTCAAAGTCTAAATCTATCAAAAACTGTTGTTTCAAATTTTGGAATTTTTTATGAACTTGGTATTTAGAATTTTTATGTATAGTTATCCTAGGAGAAGTAGGCAGGATAAGGAAGTGGGTATTTCTTCAGTGTCTTTAAATTTTGTGTTATTTATTTCCCTGGGCATATTTTTTTATATTGATTAAGATTTGTATATTTACCTACAGTCAGGATCTAGCATGCCATTCATATTCTGACAGGGCATGATTTGTCCGGTTGTGCTGCTGTGGGAGCTCCCTTTTTCTGCCTGTTGTAACTACCTAGAGTTTCTCCCCCTCCACAGATGGTGCGAGTGTAGGCAGTGGTTGGGGAATGGGGGCCTGGATTCTTTCCGCCAGAGCTGTCAAAAGCATCTTCAGACCTCTTTCCTCATCTCAGAAACTCCCCCACTGCCCATTGCTCTTGGTCTCACTGCATCCTTCCTCCCCATACCTTACGTTGCTGCTGCAGGAGGAAAGAGACTTTTTGTGGAGACGGGGTGTTCCTTTGATATGGAGGTGAATTTGACAGATTTGTGTCTTTTGCCTGTATGTGTAGCACCTAATTGAATTATTTGCTCATTGAAACATGCTGATTACTGAATGATGTTACTGATGAGATTATGTGTAAATAGTGTGAAGTCAGAATAAAGTTGGATAACTACTAATTTCAGTGACAAAAGAGATAGGGTGGAAGTGTTGGAAGAGAGTACATTTTCAGCTCTGTGAGGCTGGACACTTAATATTTTCTCTCATTCATCTACATAAGCCTTGGAAGTAGGTATTGTTAAGCACATTTTATAGGTGAGAAATAGAAACTCAGAGAAATGATGTATTATATTTCTAAGAGACTGAACATAGTAAGGTCTTTTTTGACTCCATATCTTGTGTCTTTCTCATCACCTATTGCCTCTCTTTCTATTTGCTGTGATTACTTCAAGTTAAAAGGCAGGAATTCCCTGGGAAGCATCATTTAATGCTTACTTCAGGAATAAGAGGGGTAAAACGGAAATAGTCCTGTGATGTGTCTCAAAAGATACCCTTGGCAGCCAGCAGTAGTGGTATTGGGAAGAGAAGTAGGCAGCCATTCCTCTGGGGCCCTCAGGAGTTGGGAATGTTTTATTAGCAGGAAGTGTCAGTCCCTCACTACTGCTTCTCCTCCTTTATCCTGTCCTCAGGTTTCAGGAATGATCACAGGAGCCTGAACCTGGAGAG